GAATGTCCCACAAGAGTGTCCCACAAGAGTGTCCCACAAGAGTGTCCAAGAGTGTCCCACAAGAGTGTCCTACAAGAGTGTCCCGCAAGAGTGTCCCACAAGAGTGTTCCAGAAGACTGTCCTACAAGAGTGTCCCAGAAGAGTGTCTCACAAGAGTGTCCCTTAAGAGTGCCCTACAAGAGTTTCCTGCAAGAGTGTCCCACAAGAGTGTCCTACAAGAGTGTCCTACAAGAGTGTCCCACGAGAGTTTCCTACAAGAGTGTCACGCAAGAGTGTCCCACAAGAGTGTCCTACAAGAGTATCCCACAAGAGTATCCCACAAGAGTGTCCCACAAGAGTGTCCTACAAGAGTGTCCTACAAGAGTGTCCTATAAGAGTGTCCCACAAGAGTGTCCTACAAGAGTGTCCCATAAGAAATTCCTACAAGAGTGTCCCACAAGAGAGTCCCACAAGAATGTCCCACAAGAGTGTCCCACAAGAGTGTCCCACAAGAGTGTCCTACAAGAGTGTCCCACAAGAGTGTCCCACAAGAGTGTCCTACAAGAGTGTCCCGCAAGAGTGTCCCACAAGAGTGTTCCAGAAGACTGTCCTACAAGAGTGTCCCGGAAGAGTGTCTGACAAGAGTGTCCCTTAAGAGTGCCCTACAAGAGTTTCCTGCAAGAGTGTCCCACAAGAGTGTCCTACAAGAGTGTCCTACAAGAGTGTCCCACAAGAGTTTCCTACAAGAGTGTCACGCAAGAGTGTCCCACAAGAGTGTCCTACAAGAGTATCCCACAAGAGTATCCCACAAGAGTGTCCCACAAGAGTGTCCTACAAGAGTGTCCCACAAGAGTGTCCTACAAGAGTGTCCCACGAGAGTGTCCTACAAGAGTGTCCCACAAGAGTGTCCTACAAGAGTGCCTTTCAGGAGTGTCCCACAAGAGTGTCCTGTAAGAGTGTTTCACAAGAGTGTCCTACAAGAAGAGTGACCCACAAGAGTATCCTACAAGAGTGTCCCACAAGAGTGTCATTTGGACATATGTAGCTTTTCGAACGTGTTTGCATTCGGGTTCGTGGGCTCCATCTTGTACATGTTTTTTTTTGCATTTGTTTACTTTCTACCACCCTGGGGTGGTATGCCACCCGAGGGAAAGACATGGAAAGACCATGTTTGTTAGGAGCGAGGCCACCGGTCGCGCCGAAAAGGCCACGGATGACAAGGTCACCCGCGGACAAGAGCGATTCCGAAGGTCCAGAATCGGTTCCGGGAAGATGGTAAAAGCCGGTCTTCTGGATAAGTTGTATAATTATATAGTAATAGTATGTAATAGTTATATATATATAAATGTAGCATCAATAGTATCAGTATGTATACCCACCCTGAGATTGACACCCCAATAAGAATGTGATTTTAGCAAGCTGTTTTGCTTACAAGCTGGACGTTTAGGTTGAACAGTCCCCCATGGCCCATTGCTTGAGTTGGTAAAGAACTTCGGATTTGGAGTCTCTAGTTGACTGTACCTAAAGGAAAGAAGGCAAACTTGAGTGGTGCCTTAAGCCCCAAAAACGGACCCGCTCTGGTGACCACCATTCTCCATAGAACTGCTGCTTAGCCAACATGAAGTGAGTCCAAAGCCTGTTTTCCTATGGCTCAGGTGACCTTCATCCTCTTCACCTCAGGCTTCTGCCAGCGCCTGGGTTTCCCACCCGACATCGAAGTGGCTGAGGTCCAGCGTTCGCGGCGTTTGGGCCTGCGCCGAGTCAGTGCGTGGAGCGTGGTCAGCCGGAAGACTTTGGCGATTGGAGCGGAGAAGGAGGAGCCGGGGAACATGGGAGCGGTGGTGTGGGAGGCGAGGCGCCATGGGGGCGGAGTAGAATAGGGAGACCTCTCAAAAGCATCTCTCCTGGCACAAGGAGAAGCCGACTGAGACATACTAAGACCCAATGCTTGGAGGGTCCCCCTAGTCTAGAGCACACTCATGTGATAGTTTGCTGTTGCTAGTGACATGATGGTTGTGTGGCATGGGGTTTGGTGAACCATGATGAAATATGCATGGCACATGCGCTTGCCACAACCCAGGTCTTGAAGGCAGAGCTTGTACTGTCCGCGATCTCGGTTCTGAGGTTCCGCCAATTTGACCGACTGAAAGGATTGACCAAATCAAGCCCATCATGCCCAATTGGCATGCAGGGCCGCTTGGCATTTCGGAGTCTTATGTCCTTACATGTCCCCAGCATCTCTTGAACCCCTTGGGTTATTTGGATTGTTGAATGCCCATTGGTCGTAACTATTGGTAGTATATGCGGCCAAGAAACATCAAGGACCCAACGTGTCTAGGCGCCCGCTTCGTTTTGGGATGGTGAGATGGGGCGCCAAGACATTCCAAGATCGCCAGCTGAAAGGACGGCAAAACTCACCTTTCGTGCAACATGTGTGATGCTGGTGCCGTGCTTGGCTTAGTATGTGCATGCTACACCATGCTATACCTAATTCAGCCATGTCGCATTTCGGAGAGCACTCACTTAAGCAAAGTATGAGTGGGAGGTAGGCGACCATATCTTCATAGCCAATGCAGGACATGTTTTTGATTCGGCTCAAGAGGGTGTTGTGTGGAGGCTTTTTCTCCTGACAATATGAAGGCATTGCCAGGAAGGTGTGCCTTAAATATGCCTTAGAGACATGTCACATCATGTTTTTACAGCACTTGTAAGCATTGTAAGCTGTGTCGTGTGGCTATAGGCTACTCTTCCTGCACATAAGTGCGAATCAAGGTGCGCGTGATCTCACCAGTGTCGATGGTGATGATGCAACGCACTTGATGCAACACACTTGGCTTGAACCAAACACGAGCTACCATGAGGAAGTCTTGCAGCACGAGTTGCTTGCGTTGCACTTTGCTTTAAAGATGCCAAGTTTTGCAGGCCTGACCTTGTAGATCTCTTTTATGCCCACGTCATCAATCCATGGCACGTGTGACGAAGATGATGAATGCTGCCATTGCAAGCACATGCCCTGCAACACCTTGTGCAACACCAGTTGGAATGCTTGCAAGTGCAAACCTTGCACCCTTCATTACCTTCATGTAGCACATGCTCATAGTGACTCACACTGGCACTTACATGAAACTGCCACTGAAGCTGCTGCTTTGCTGGCCTCTCGACCCCATCGACCCCTCGCAACCCCTGAGGACCCCGCGATCAAAATAACTGAAGGCCCATGGGCCCTGATGAAGCCCCGCAACTCTGGTTGTTGTGAGAGTCAGGGTTGTCTGGGTGACGGCCCTTGGATTCTTAGGGAGACTTTCAGACTTTCAATTGTTGGCTGCAACCTGAGAGAACGTAGGTTTTTTGTACCAAAAGCGTTGGCCGTCGCCCTGCTGGCCCTGGGAAAGCTGATGTGAGCTGCCAAGCTGATGTGCGCCCAGGAGCTCTGAAAGCATCAACAAAGGAGCGGCTCAGCTCGTAGGCTGCGGTGTCTGCGGGATCCGCATGTCCTTTGAGGTTGGTTGTTTTGTTTTTTGTTTAAGAAGATGTTTGGGGAGCATTTGGTGGGTCTGAATTCTCCACATCACGAGTTTTTGGTGGGGGTGATTGGGTGTAGGACATGAACATGTGTGGGTGGGCCCTCATTAATATCAATGTTTCAGATTTGACCCCAAAGTTTAAGCTAAAGAGGGACACCGGACACTGGATCCTGGTTTTCGGACCCTGCTAAGCTTTTTGAGCCTTAGCATACAGGGGACCCAACTATCGTGTAAATCATAATCCGGTGTTGCCCTTTGGTTTGCCCTACCTTTGGGAGGACATTAGCAGAGTCTGTTTTGACTTGTTGGCCTTCCGCCAGGCATCGATTCTTCAACTGAGCAGAACAGATTCGGGCCAGCGGGGGTGGCAGTTCTGCGATGCCAAGCACAACATCAGAACGTCATCCTTCATCATTCTTTGAAACACAAATCCTCGGAGTCCAGTCGACCAGGTCTAAAATGTTCATTAAGGTGATCTGATCCTCGGAATTTCCTTTACTTTGACGCCCCCCAAAAAAAGTTTTTGGACTTCTAGGGCCAAGATACAAGGATCAAGATAGATTTCAATATGTAGTACAAGACCGAGAGTGATCCCAACAAGCACCACAACACCTGATGGACTTCATTGGGCACCCTGCACTGGAAGTTCACTATCTTCGGGAAATCCTGCAACCATCATCATCGTCGTCATCATCATGCACTGGGCCCCGGTAATGGGATATGCCATATACCCAAACTATCTATCTGTATACCTTGAACTCAATGGTCGCACGTGGATTCATCCATCGCCCCCCCCGTGGCCAACATATTACTTTGCAAAAATGTTCAAATCCGAGAGCTTCGAGATCGCATGTGCAGTTTGGAATTTGGCCATTGGGCCAAGCCAACTTTGAAGTCTTTAAATGTCGAGTTGGAATCAGCATGTGGCTTTCCGATCGCTCCAACGGTCAAGTGGCTGGACAGCAGTCACAAACGCATCCAGTGCTTTGTTTGTCAGGCATCCAACTCTTTTCAGAGTTTTATTGGGGAGATGTGAGCCCTTCAAGGGGGCCTGCACGTTTTCCCATGCGATGCCAAGACATGCCAAGCTGGCACTTCTCAAAGAACGTGAAGCTAAGCCAGCCATTGGCTACTCAACCACATGGAGAAAAACGGGATCATTCGGGCCCCAGAACCAAGATCGATCTGAGTCCAACTGTTTTTTTTCATCGAGGGCCGCTGGTCATCATTGGCCCTTCTGCATTCTAAGCTGAATATGATATGGCCTTTTCGAGGGATGACAACCTCAAGACCTTCGTAAGAAGTAGTTGTGAAATAATTCGAAGATACCCTAGAAATCAATACCAGGCACATTGTCCAGCGTACGTATAGGGACACGTGCTGTCCAGGGCTAGGAACATTTGAGAAAGTCTTGCCAATCTAGATTTTTGGATGCGTAGATGTTTGGTGGTTCAAGCCGCCAACGTCACTGAAGTTCTTTGTCGCCGGACATTTTCGATGGAGAACCCGGACATTGACGACCTGGATGAATTTGATGATGAGGACCGTTCGACATCGACGATTCGCGGCCGGCAGGGTGGGGCGTGACGAGTCAGACCTCTTTACGACGTGGTCACAGAGTTGGAGAAGTGCCGGATCTCCAACCACTTCCTCCAAAATCAGGAAACTTTTGGGTCCTAACGTACCTATAGTCAATGGACAACCTGAGTTTAACCAACCCTTTTGGGCATTGGTTTCCAACTGACCTATCTTGACCTTTACTTTCAAGGAAAACTGAGAATGCCACAACTCGTGTTATGGGGTTAGTGACAGTGAGAGTCATGCTAATGCTAACAGCATTTGTAACAGTTTCCAGCTTTCAGGACGAAGAGCTCGGATGGTCTTTGAGCTACCTTGTGATTTGCATCCTGATGCCCTTGTTCAACGGCTTTATGAATGGCTATAGTTGGTCGGGCTATTCTTTGCACTACATCGAAATGGGATGGCCCTTGGCGAGGTGTCCATGACGGCAGTCGGTTGCGGAGGTACCTAATATGTGACCAGTCTACTGCCATGTCCCTCGTTGGAGGGCACAAAACCGGTGTCTCAGCACCCGGTCGGGTATGGTGCTTGGGCCAGTTTAGGAAGCCCAAGTTCCACGCTATGGAAGATGGTTTCTGTATTTACATCGGTGTATCCAACATATATTTTGAAGGGTGGCGTTGGCTAGCAAAACGGCACCACAGTTCGTACAAGACGTACGCCCACGTCCACTTCATAGGTACGCCGGCCCCTCCACATCAAAATCCCTAAGATGGTTGTCTACTTGAGGTCATTCCAAGCAAGGTCAGGGTTAAGCAACGTGTCGCGCTGTTGCTACTTCTGGGAGCGAATTGGTGAGCCGAACCTCGGTTCTGCACCCCTCACGCGAAGGGTTTCAACACCCCCACCTGGAGACAAAGATCGACTAAATGACTAAAAGACTCTAGTTTCTTATGGTATATTTGCTTGATTTGTGGGAGGCACAACGTTGTCGCCGGGATAAAGGTCTGAAGATATTCTCTGCAGCCGAAGATGTAGCTATATAATTAATTAATGGTCTGAAGATGCATCGTGAGCGAGCAAAGGTGCAGTGTAGTTGCACAAGAGAGGTCACGGTAGTCTTGCTTTAAGAGAGACCACTGTGCTAGTCTTTTCACGTTTTCAACAGCAAAACTGTTCCAAACATACGCCCCGACACATGTCACAAACATGTTTCGAATCCGCACGAACTCGCCCACTGTTCGCACTGATGGACCTTGTTTGGGGTGAGGTCCGGATTGTCTTGCCTCATTGGCTTCCTGTTGCGGCCCGTTTTGCAGCAAGTTCAAATCCGCTTGGGCTTGTGGGCGCTTCGATCTGCAATTCATCGATGGTGGGTCAAGGGCGCTTAGCGGTTTGGTTTTGGCCCTAAAACCATCCTCCCCGTTTTGGGGATGCACTTGGTGACCCTGGGCACCGAACTTGGACACACAGGAAACACCAGGAATTGGAGGGTCCAGGTATATCTATATCATCTATCTCATTATGTATCACAAACTTACAGTATAAGTTACAACATTTTATATAATTACAACACACAATACAACGCATCAAACAATATGATATTAAGCTTACACCTTGTATGATCCTTGTATCATAATATAAGATAATATATATATATATATATGTACAGTATTATATGTATATAGAACATGTGTGGACTTTTTTTTTAAATGCATACCACGCATCAAACCCAGTTTGTAGCCTTTCCAGCCATCGCTGCCGTGACCCACCTGTGTGGCCACCTGGGGCGAAGACCGACCGGACCGGGCCGAGGGGCAGGACGTAGCGGTGTGTAGCGGTGGTCAGCGGACCCAGACGCAACGTCATGGGACTGGTCTATTGGCCAAAGAGTTGGGGTGGTGGTGCCAGGGGGGGGGTCAATGGGACGGCAGATATGGTCATACATGGAGTGTAATGGGAGATGGACCAAATTGCAGCACACAGTTGCCTCGCAGGGTCACTTCAACGCCCTAAGTTCACTGAAGAGCGGAGATCATTGAATCAGGTGGGGCCGCCCCTTGCGGGCCCATCCGGATAGTGTTGGAGGGGTGTGGGGGCCCCTTGTGGGGGGTAAGGAATCCACCTGCACGATAGGCAGTGGTCCCCTTGACCTTGGGCCACCTGGCCTGTGCTGTCGTGGGGCTGATCTACACGGACAAGGACCGTCGTGGGTTGAGGTCACTGGAAGCACCGAACTTCATGGCCTTACTTCTAGGAACAAGAAGCCACTAGGGTGCAAGGACGCTGAAGATGATTATTGTATATTATTGTGTGTCTCATTTCTAATCTCAGCGCGGCGACGACGTCGCCAGCTCCAGGAGTGGGCCGTGAGCATCGAGATGGGCAGTTGGATCGCCTTTGAGCCCGCTATTGCCATCGAGGGCTTGGCCTTCGACGTTTTCGGGAAATCCGAACTCCTGGCACGGCAGGCCTCGTCCACCCTGTGACTTGGTGGTTGAAGGTGTGGGAGGCTATCAAGATCCAAGAGACAGAAGCACCTCAACATCAAAAGGCGTTTTGTGGCAATTGAAAGTTCCGTTGTCTACAAACAGTGTATATATATATATGGTCATTGTTTATTGTTCTATATTATTCCGCGCAGCCGAGAGCGTCGCGTGTCTCTGGCGTGCCGGGCATGGTGATTGCAATGCCGCAGGCAACTAAACATGACAAAGAGCTCAGAGCTGCCTTGCCAGCTCACGGGCATACCTCAAAGGTTTCCCTGGAAAAAAGTGCCACAAAAAGTCAGCCACCCGATTTGCCTCATGTTCAGGCCACGGGATTTGAACTGCTTTCATGGGTTTGTGGATCATCGCCAGCCCCAACTACACTCACGCTGACATGCCGCCATTGTTTCCGAAAAAAGAAGCTCAAACACCCTAAGGTTCGAGGCCAAAGTACGACCAACCAACTCACCAGCGGCAAGCGTGTCAATGGGCACCCAGGTGCTTTGCCCTGCCCTCATCGTCCTCTTCTTCATAGCTGTCCGGCCGTGAAGCTAAACTGTGTTTGGCCAAGTGCAAACGGAAAAGACCATGTTTCCCCAAGACCATGTTCTGCGTGTCCTGTTCACGAGCGAGACGAACCCTCTCGCGGAGAACAGTGGAGCCACCTGTGCGCACTGCCGCCTTTGCAGCGCTGTCAGCACAACTGTTACTGTAGCGGGGCCAGGCATCGTGCCGAATCGTGCTCCGTCGACGCCTGTGCAGGGTCAAGGTGGGCAGATACCTGAGCCAGCAGGACACTGCTGGAGAGTCACTCCCACCTAACCTTGAAGTCGCTGCCAGAGATCCTGATTGCGCCACTCAGTCGGTATGAAGCCCTGCCGCATGATATGAGCAAAGCCGTCAAGGGCATACTGAGAATCCGAGTAGATATGAACTTGGCAGGCAGTGTGAGCTGCCCAGTCCAGCGCCATAACTATGGCCCAAATCTCCGCTCTGTCGCTCGTGTGATGCGAAAAAGGAAGCAGTGCAGCAGCTATGGTTTCCTCAGTATTAGCCAAGTAGCAGCTCCAGCCAGCCAAAGCGCACTGAGGGTTCTTTGGCAGATCGCAAGAACCGTCCACAAAAATGTGCTGTGAGTAATGCGGCCAAGCTTCCCAAGAGTCAAGCTGGTCGGACAAAGAATGTTCCGCCGCATGCTGATTGGCCGAAAGTAATCCATGGTGTGTGACATGTTTGGGCAAGGAGTGCCATCTTCGAATCACCTCAGGAAAATGGCTGCGAATGTGACTGAAGCGCTGACAGGACAAAGCCCTGTGTTCCAGCGAGTCAGCGTGTTCACAGAACAAGCAGCGGCCCGTATGCGTGACATCAAATTTGGCCTTGATGCTTTCCAAAAAACTTGTACCGTCCTGAATGCAGTGCAGCAAAGCCGAGACGGCCTTGTCAAGCGAAGTCAGCGCTTGCGTCGTGCAGCGCCTGTCAACGCCATGCAGAGAAGGCATCGTCTGCCAGTGTCGAACTTGCTTGGAAACGACAAAGCTCCAGGCATGTTGCAAGAACTGGTCCAGAAGTTGTCGATCCAGAGTAAGGAAGGCAAGACCAAACGAAGGCGTGATCCAAAGTTGGAAATCTGACGTGAGATGCCAGCCCAGGTCCGCAAGCAGAGAGGTGAGCTTTCCAAAGGGGCCAAAGGTCCGTGAGGCAGGTTCAACATAGGCATACTCACCCCATCATTGTTTATTGTTCTATAATATATTTCATATAATATAATTTGCGCGTTTTCAGAAAAGCCTCTGTGGTACCCCACACAGAACTGAGAAACAAACAACTTTTGAAAGCAACAATGTTCTTTTGTAACGAAAAAGTTTGTTTGAAACTTTCTTTTTTGTTTTTCTGCACTGAGAGAAACTTTGCGAAACATTTTTTCGAACATCTAAACATTTTTTCGAGCATCTAAACTTTGTTTGAAAGTTTCTGAAACTTTTGAAAGACAACTTTTTTGGAAATATTGATCTTTTGAAGAACGTTCACAACTTTCTTGGGAATATTAAATATTAGTTTTTGAAACAGCAACATGTTCAATAGCTTTTCGAGAAATTACTTGTGACATCTCGGAAATGTTTACATAGCAGTTGAGCATCCAAACTCGTCTCGCAGCAGTGCGAAATGGGGTTTTACTGGCGAGCCGCGCAATTGTAATATTGGCTCAAGTTGCCCAGCATGGCAGCTTTAGGGATCAAGTTTTAAACTTAGCGCGACGATATGGTGACGAAGAGGTAGGTCAGGGGTCTGAATCTAGGTCTGCAGCTGTCAGGCCCATCGGTCGCAGACGTTGTGGGGCGCAAGGTCTCCACACTGGTCGCCACAAACGGGTCACCGGGCGAGTGTTGACTAGAAGTACTCAAAAGCGGTGTGCCGGGAAACTTTGTTTTAACGTTCGGAGCCGGCAACACATAAACCACCTGCAGCAGATTCCTGGGAGCCCATGCCAGGCGACAGTCGCTGGCTTCCAAACCTCGATGCGTGGGAAAGAGGAAAACAAGTGGAGCGGGCGGCGAAGACTGCCCCTCCACTGCCCACCATTCCACCGGATTCAATTCTGCGAAGCTGCCTCACATTAAGCTCTTGAACGAGTGGATGACTTTTAGCTGAACAGTAGTTGACACCGGCTGGGTGTGTGGTTCGTGGGTGGGGGTTGCTTCACATCAAAGATGGCTTGTATGCGCACCGATCCTCCCAGGGAAGCCGCGACCTCCATGACGGGGGCGCTCCACATTTACTTGAACAAGGCACTGGAAGACAAGGACGGAGTCGCCAGGATTTCCACCCCACCGCACTGCCACAATTCGTTTCAACGATTTTCAAAGCCAGGAAGTGCGCCTCCGCTTCTACAAGTCTATCGAGACGAAGTTTGAACCCCTACCGGATGAGTGAGCAACTCAGGGCACCCAATCTATGGGACCTTCCCTTCACTGTAAACACATGTTTGTTTTCGTCCAATGGTGGGTGATACTCAGGGTGTATGCGACAGAGTCATTTTTTGCGGTGCCTGGCCCTCACACCTTGCGGCCGTGGATGCTTCCGTATCACCATGAATACGGATTGAGGGAGACGTTCGGTAGTGAACCTAGAAAGCGCAAAGTTGTATTCTTTGCATTCACGTTTTAGACTAAACCTTCGTCAAGTTTCTTGCGTGTGAACCTTTTGCAAGTGAGTTGTTTCGGCGACTCGACGAGGATGTTCTAAAGTGCTTGACCCAACTGGTGGCACTCAACACCTTCCGAACAAACCCGGACCTGCCGGGCGCAGAGAAGTTGGTGGTCACTGCGATGGATGATAAGTGGCTTTCTGGCAGGCGGGTCTACTTCTCATGCGCCAACTTGGGGGTGGGCGGAGGGCTGCTACCACCCCACAGTGTTGTCACGATCAAGGGGTTCAACCGCTCTACCAGCGCTCTTCTCCTGATGCTGGCCTGCTTTGAGACTGTTCGAACGAGGCGCTTGTGGATGTCGAACAACATCGAATTGAAACAACCGTGGGGAACTTGAGATTCCACACCAATCAACATGGTTTTGTCAGGCTCTGCCAAAAGATGTGGTTGAGCGGGGTTCTTAACATGTTACACCGTACCATCACATACACTTGGAATGCCCATGCATGCGTGCACCGTTGAACTGAGATCTTTGAGCGCCATCTAAGAATCTACGCGACCAAGCAGAATGCCGACTTGCAGGAGGTGATATCTTTGAACCGAGGTGCAAAAAGCATTTTGTCATCTTCGGGGGTGGCCCTGACCAGGAAAACCAATTCATTAAATTAATATTATTAGGGGAACCCAACTCAGTTCTATTGACAACCGAAACAGCTTCCCGCGCGCCTGGCAGGTGTGACCCTAGCCGGTGCGCTGCGACGGCGCCCCAATGCCTTCAATCTGTTGCATCAAATGGAGGTGATGCTGAGGGGTGGCTACACCAACACCACAGCTGTTTCCAGCCTGGAGGTGGGTTCAATCTGAGTTTCTGATTCAATCATCTACCAACACAGGTTGATGTTGGAACGTATTGGCGTGGAACCATTGTGTTTTTTGGATTTCTTTTTGGAGAGATCAGCAGTGAACAAAAACATGGGCGTTCATGCCATGTCGGTAGAGTCTTCCGGAGTCTGCCAGGCCTTGGATGCCGCGTCATCCATGGTGCAGGCCTACCAGGTGGGAAAAACCGAGTCTGAGGCCGCGATTGCTTTGAGCCACGTGAGCCCTTCCACCCGCTCACAGAATTGGTGAGGACAGCGCATAGGTAAAAAGATGTTGCTTCCCCTTGGGCATAAACCACAGATCCCCAATTACTTCGGGATTCTTCATGATGGGATTGCCGCTGGAGTTTTCAACATGAAGTACAACGGTGCTGGGGCTGCCTTTGGGGCGTGGGACAAATTCCTGGGGAACACGCAAGAAGTGGTGGACCTCATGCTCAAGCGCATGCAAAAGGACTATGAAGGTTTGGCACCAAGGGCACGGAAGCCATGGGGGCTGACACTCCTTGACTCTTGACGTCAATACATGCATTCATTCGCGTTACACGCAATGGTTTGGGGGGGAAGAAACAAAGGGTCCCTTGCAAACTGTTTTCGAATTTTGGGACTCCCAGATACGGTGGTTTCCCGATGCAGCTGGCCAAGGAACAACTTCAGCGCTTGTGTGGCATGTTCTTGTGCGCGTTGGTGAGGTTCAAGGAGTCAGTGCCATCAAGCTACTTTGATTCCGTCGCGCCCGAGATCATGGCTACGTTTCTTGTCCATACCCAAAGCACCAAATGTCAAGATACTCACAACCGACAGACTATAAGAACCCTATGATATGGATATTATGTGTGGTCTTCACACCTCTGAAGCTTTTGCTCCAATGCTCGTCTTCCAAACTAAAGTAGAATACCGTAAATCTGGTTGAGGGGGATTAAGAACCTGTGGCAGGTTCTTGCACAGGCACGCAGACGTGGAT